AGCTTCCTTCTCTTACTGACACATGTATACAGCATATCACATCCTTAGCTTCCTTCTCTTACTGACATGTGTATACACTACATCTTTGTATGAAACAGAAGCTCACAGTATCCTGCTTAGGAACAATAGTGACAGTTCATCAAGCCCATTTCTCAGATGAAGGAAGAACTGTCATCGGTCCCTCTCCTCCCGCAAGCAGAATTATCCAGGGGTCGCGTTGGGTTACGCTAGAACCTCTTTCTCTTTTGGGTTAAGACACGCAGTATGTTGAGATCTTTTGGGGGCAATTACAGGTTTTTATAAAGTGAGACTGAGCAGTGCCTTCCGTTTGCACTTTGTAGAAGAGGTGTGATTAGATATATATATCCAGCCTCACTTGGCTGTATGCCGTAATTTAATATGAGGTACATTGAAAACAGCTGAGAGAGTGATCGATTATATCAAGTGATTGTGGTCAGTTTCCACATCTGGGAAAGGAGACTCGCATGTGCTTTCCAGAAGTTCTTAACTTAGCTGTTGGAGTAGCCCTCAACAGCAGCGAAGGAAAGAATTCAGTGATACATTTTGAAGTAGTAATCAATTTATCTGTTGAATCTCTGGAATTTCTTTGAAAACATCTCCATCCAGTCACCGTGGTATATTTTCAGTATTATGTATACTTAAAACAAGTTAGTTATTGTAATTAATTTTATTAATTAGAATTTTTATTTACTATTCTGATTTTTTACGTATGTCTCATTTGGTTTTTACAGTCAGCCTGTGAGGTAGGTGTGGCATGAAGCGTATAGATATAGTTATATATGCACACACACATCACAGACACCCTGTGCTTATATCTGTATATGTATATTATCTAATAAAAAAGCTTTGATTGTATATGCGTATTGGCACATTTATATATATATGCACACATACATAATATACTATATACTATATCTAATATACATACATACATACGTACATATAGATATGTATATATAGCCAACACTTTACTAAGTAACTTGCTTCGTGGTGCTAGGTTAGTAAGAAGTGAAACCAGAATTGAAACCCAGGTTTTTCACTTGAAATGCAGGACTTTTGCAGCATAGAGTCCTCAAAACCTACCTAGTAAATTTGGGAAACAAAGCAAAAAAACAAACAGCCTCACCCCTTCCCCCGCCCCCCCACCAAAAAACCCTCCAGAACTTCTGTTTTCTGATTTCACATACCTACCACAAGTAACATTTCTCTCCTGATAACTCCAATCCAGTTACTTTCTTGTAGAGTGAGATGTGATGACTTCTGTTTAACCACTACTTGGGACACCGGGATGTTGGTCAAAAAGGGAAGTTTTTCTGAAGCGGTAGTTTTGTACTTTACAATTCTTTTTGCTTAAAACAAGAAAATCAGATACTGACCAGTACATGTAATGTTTTCCCTTAATTTTAGATTTTCTTCCGTTTGTATGTAATGGTTGCTCAGGAATATTTTGGTAAGTTTTTATGCAGAATTTCAGATTAACTTTAATGTTTGTAATATGGGGGTTTACGTCTGAAAAGCAGAATGATCTTCAATAGTTGTTATTTTCGCTATTGATATTTAACATCCAGTCCAGTAACCACTTGGAAAAAAAGAAACATAGACTTGTCATAGGTTCTGAGTACTAGCGCATATTTGTGGAAGCATAGACTTGTCATAGGTTCTGAGTACTAG